GAGCCCGCGGCGGGCCAGGCTCAGCACCCGCACCCGGTGCTCCAGGATGTGCAGGTCCATGGCGGGGCCCCCTCCGCCGCCGCCACCGCCGCTACCAGCGCGGCCCCGGCCCGCCCCGCGCCGCGGGAGGGGCCACCGACCGCCCCGCCCCCGGGGCCACCGCCCGCCCTCCCGGGATGTCGGACCCGGAGCCCCGGGGCCGCCCCTACCGGACCCGACCCGGAGCTCTGGAGCACCCGAACCAGCCCCGGCCCGGAGCCACGGGGTGTCCGGACAGGACCCGACCCGGAGCCTTGGGGTGCCCGGTGAGTCCCGGTTCGGAGCCCCGAGATGCCTGCACCGGACCCGAGCCAGCCCGGAGCCCCGGGGTGCCCTCACAGGACCCGACCCGGAGCCTTGGGGTGCCCGGTGAGTCCCGGTTCGGAGCTCCGGGGTGCCTGCACCGGACCCCAGCCAGCCCGGAGCCCCGGGGTGCCCGCACAGGATCCGACCTGGAGTCCCGGGGCACCCAAACCAGCGCCAATTCAGAGCCCTGAGGAGACTGCACCGGACCCGACCCGGACCGGACCCCCAAAGTGCCGGGACAGGACCAGATCCGGAGCCCCGGGGCACCCAAACCAGCCCCGACCCGGAGCCCCGGGATGCCCGGAGCAGCTCCAGCCCGCGGCCCCGGGGTGCCCACACCGGACCCGACCCGGTCGGCAGCAGCTCCGGGGGCCTGAAGCAGACCCGATCCGTCCCGGAGCCCCGGGGTGTTTGCACAGATCCGGACCCAGAACCCCCGGGTGCCCGGAGCAGCTCCTGGGGGCCTGGACGGGACCCAACCAGGACCCCCGGGGTACCCAAACCAGTCCTGACCCAGAGCCCTGGGGTGCCTGCACCGGACCCGACCCAGCCTAGAGCCCCCGGGGTGCCCGGTCCAGCCCCGACCCGGAGTCTGGGGGCACCCAAACCAGCCCCAGCTCAGAGCCCTGGGGTGCCCAACCTGGGGTCCCAACCCTCCCGCTCCCAGCTCTCACCAGTACCAGTCAGGCTGGGACTGGACCCACTGGGAGCCCAAATGTTGACCCCACCATACCCTCTCCATCCCGGCCAGGCTCACCCCAGCTCCCACTCATCTCCCCCAGGCTCAGCCCCCACCCCAAATCCGAGGACGAGCCCCACAAGCCACCCCAGCAGCGGGGATTTGCCAAACGCAGGGCAGTAGCCCCCGAGCCGAGGTTTGCAGGGACAAGGGGGAAACCCAGCACCACAAACCAGCACTCTTCTGCGGCCACCCCCAGGAAAAGGGAATTTTGGGGGGAGGAATGGAGGTTTGGGCAGAATTCCCACCTGCAGGAAGCACAGGGAGGGAGGGAAGAGAAGGCCTGGGCACCATTTTGTGCATGGAAAGCTGAATCTGGGAGTGCCATGGGATAAATTAGGGGTCTCCTGGCTCTGTTAGGCCACAGGAGCTGTGACACCGGGAGAGGGGGGTAGGTCTGAGGGCTTGGAAGGGCACTCACCCCATGGCAGCCCCCTCCAAGAACCCCCCAGGGCCTGGCAGCCACCGTGGCATGTCACAAGCTGGGGCAGGTCTCAGTGTCCTCCCATTTACACTTCAAACGGGGGCAGCCCCAGGGCTGGGTGAGAGCTGGGTGAGACAGCGCAGACGGGTCCGGGCTTGGGCACCCTGGGTGGCTCTGCTGGGGCAGCCACAGGGGTGACGGCAGCAGGACCCTCCCCAGCACCAGAGCACCCAGGGGACACGGGGCAGGGTGGCTCCCCGGGGCTGGTGTTGGTGCAGCAGGAGGTGGGGGGTGACGGGGAGCACGCGTGTGGTGTGGTCAACACGCTGGAGGGAAGGGATGGCATCCAGAAGGACCTGGGCAGGCGGGACCGTGCCAACCTCATGAAGTTCAACCAGGCCAGCTGCAAGGTCCTGCAGGTGGGTGGGGGCAACACCAAGCCCAAAGCCAGGCTGGGCAGAGAAGGGCCAGAGAGCAGCCCTGAGGAGAAGGACTTGGGGGTGCTGGTGGGTGAGAAGCTCCACACACCCCTCAACGTGCGCTGGAGCCCAGAAATCCCCCGCCCCCTGGGCTGCATCCCCAGCCCCGTGGCCAGCAGGGCCAGGGGGGGATTCTGCCCCTCTGCTCCGCTCTGGGGAGACACCCCCCAGTGCTGCCTCCAGCTCTGGGGCCACCACCAGCAGAAGGACATGGAGCTGTTGGAGCGGGGCCAGAGGAGGCCCCGGAGATGCTGGGAGGGCTGGAGCCCCTCTGCTGGGAGGGGGGGCTGAGAGAGTTGGGGGGTTCAGCCTGGAGAAGAGAAGGCTCCGGGGAGACCTTGGAGCCCCTTCCAGTCCCTCAAGGGGCTCCAGGAGAGATGGGGAGGGACTCTGGATGAGGGAGGGGAGCCCTAGGAGGAGGGGGCAGGGTTTGACACTGAAAGAGGGGAGATGGAGCTGAGCTGTGGGGAAGAACTTGTTTGGTGGGAGGGTGGTGAGAGCCTGGCCCAGGTTGCCCCGAGAAGCTGTGGCTGCCCCATCCCTGGAGGGGTTCAAGGGCAGGTTGGCGGGGGCTTGGAGCAACCTGGTGTGGTGGGAGGTGTCCCTGCCCAGGGCAGGGGGCTGGAATGAGATGGTCTTTGAGGTCCCTTCCAACCCAAACCGCTCCAAGACGGAAGACACGAGGGGAGCTGCGGGTGCTGCGCCTTTACACAATCCTGCTTTATTTACCCCTTTGTACAAAACCGGTTTTTTCCCCCGCTTTATTTTACAAAGCCACCCCCCGGCCCTTGGGGGGGTAAGGGGGAGGTGAGAGGGGACCCCACAACATGGGAGCACCCAGTCGCTCGCCCACCCCATCTCACCTCTGCTGGGGCCTGGGGTGGGTGGCAGCGGTGGGGAGACCCCCAGGAGGGTGAATGCTCCCCCCACAAGCCATGGGGAGCCCAGAGAGGGGTGGGGGGGGGGCTTTAGCCCCACAGCTGTGGTCTGGCATCACATCCCACTGCAGCTCCCAACCTGGGTCCCTGTCCTGCGACGATTACTGCCACGGAGGAATAATAAATAGGCTCAGTGAGTAGGTAATTGGGTACTACATATAGGGCTACAGCTTGATATATCCTCGCTAGATAAAGGGGGGGTGGGGGGTGAGGGCCTCCCCCAGCTCCTCACATACCCCCAGTCTCCCTGTGCCACTGGGTCTGCCCGGCCAGCACAGGGTGGGAGAGGGCTGGAGGCCACGGGAGGGACCCTGGGGGCGGCGGGTCAAGGGGCTCTGGGACAGGGAGAAGGGCCCATGGGGCAGCCCCCCCCCGGTCATCAGAGGGGGGGAGCTTGGGTGGCTCAGCCACCCCCTTCCAGGGCTCCCACCGCTTGTGGTGCCAGCACCCTGCGGGGGTGGGCACCCAGTGCAGACCGACAGACGGTGTCCCCTTTGGTCACCAACCCCTGGCCAAGCCCCCACAGATGCCCCCCAGCTTCGAGCCTGCCCCTGCACACGAGGGACCACGGTGTCCCCAGGCCGGCCAGCCTGTCCCCATCCCTCTAGCCCGTGTCCCCCCGCCCCGGGTCCCTGCACAGCCCCCAGCAGTGTCCTCGAGCCCAGGTCCGTGCGCAGCCCAGCTGCCCGGGGTGCGGACCCAGCCCCACGCCGGCCCTACAAGTACGTGTCCTCGCTCTCCCGGGAGCTCAAGCTCTCCTTGGACTGGTGGTGGGGGGAGACCTGGGGGTGCAGCAGCTCCCGGGCCGAGCCAGGCACCCCGTTGCCCTCGGCCCCGGGGCCATTGGCAGGGCCAGCCGGGCTCTTCTCTCGGCTCTTCTCCTTGCTCTTGCGGGCCTTGGGCACGGGGGCTGGCCCGGGGGGGACGATGATGGAGGGGACGGACTCCAGCGCCTTGCGGGTGGGGGGCTCGGCCTCGCTGATGGCCTTGGCGCCGTGCAGGCGCGGGGGGGACTTGCACTGCAGCTCCCCGTGCGTCTCCCGCCACTTCTTCAGCTGGATCAGGTGCTCCCGCTCGATCTGACGCTCCGTCACCGGCAGCTCGATGACCTGTGGGGACAGATTGGTGCCATCAGCATCTCCCCCAACACCGACGGTGCCACCCGGGGCCAGCCCCGCACCCCAGACCCTGGGGTCAGGATCCCCCAGGGCACAGGTACCCCCAAATCCAAGCCTTTTGGGGGCCGTCCCCTCTGCCCACCCGTGGGCAGCCCAGTCCAGCAGCGTGGCCAACTGGGGGGCACTGGGGGACCCCGGACCCTTCCCAGCACCTCACCTCCTGCACAAGGAAGGTCTCCTGCATGATCTTGGGGCTGAGAGCCCTCAGCCTCTCCATGGTCTCGTACTGGCCCTGGCAGGACTTGAGCTTGTCCGAGGAGCCCAGCGTGTGTTTGAGCAGCACGAGGCCCACCCGGAAAATGATCTTCACTCCTGCAAGGGGAGAGGCAAGGCAGTGAGTGCCGGGCAGCACAGGGTGACAGTGCCACCATGTCCCTCCGATACTGTGGGGCAGCACCAGGTCTGTCCTGCTAGGAGCCAGGATGTGCAAGAGGATGGATTTGGGACGCAGGTGCTCCCTAAGCCCCAGGAAAACAGCCCAGTCTCCACCCCAGGCATGGGGGTGCCCCAAACCTGCCCTATACCAGCTCCCACATGCTCTGGCTGCAGCCCCGAGTGATGTCCACATGCTGTGGGGGGCTGCAGCCGGTGACCCTGGGAGGAAGAGGAGGATGGTGGGGAGCTTCTACCTTCGCAGAAGAACATGTCCCAGACGCGCAGGACGGAGCTCCAGGGCAGCGTGCGGGAGAAGGCGCACATGAACCACTCCGTCATGTAGAGGATGGGGTCGATCTTCTGCTTGCTCAGGTGCTTGTAGGCCACGGGTGAGACCTTGTGTAGCAGCGAGAAGAGGATCTGCCCGTCCAGCTGAATGGCCTCCTGAAGGGAGAGCGTTGAGAGTCCCCCGATCAGCTCCCTGCTGCCCATCTCCAGCGGAGGAGCAGCCCACCCTCCAGATCTGGCTACTGGAACAGAGCTGTGCTCCACAGACACCAGCAGCAAAGCTACGCTGAGCCCCCCATCCCCGACTCCAGGGGGTCCTGGTACAACATGGAGACTGTGGGAACACCCCAGGATCTCCCCAAGATCCATTATTTCTCCAGGGTGAGGAGCTGGGGGAGCTTTAGGCTTGGAAACATCACAGGTCCCTGCCACCACGGGCCAGCACTCACCAGCTTCTCGCTGTAGTAGCCGGGGAGGTACTTCTCGCAGATCTGCACCAGGCACCAGAACGCTTGCTGCAAGCCAAGGGACAGGGGGTGAGCACCCGGGGGTCCCCAGGGGACGTCCCTGCAGCCCCCACTCTGCTCCCAGGGACCAAGGGAGCAGGAGGGAAGAACGGCCAGGGCGAGGGGCTCCTCCCTGCGCCAGCCGAGATCTGGGGGTAACCGGGTGCCGTGAGCCAAGCACCAACCCGAAGCCCCCCACAGCCTCCCGCTGGCCCCAGCTTTGTGGCCTCGGGGTCTCCCCGCTGGCTCGTACCTCGGCCGGCATGTGCATGAGCAGGACGGCAGCGATGGGGGCCTGGGCCTGGCAGTAGCCCTCCTCGGGGCGGTACAGCGTGTAGGCCTTCAACACCCGAAACAGGTCCTGCTGCCTGCGGAGACACCCCCGGGAGGGAGAGGTGGGGAGAGGGCACAGACACAGCCCCACAGCCTCCCCCCCCAAGTCAAACCGGCACGGGGTGATCCAACACTGGCCACCACTCTCCCCCCACAAGCCCGAGTCGAGCTGGGATCCTTCTCCCACACGAACACAGAGCTACGGGACACGATAACCACGGCTCTGCCCCAGGGAGCTCTGCCCCAGGGAGCTCTGCCCACGGAGGCCTCATCTGCCTGGATCCGAGAGGTGAGATGGGGAACAGACTGCCTCCCAGGGATGCTGGCTCAGGGCGAGCCATGGCCAGGCAGGGACCCAGCGCAAACACAGCGGCACAGACACTCCCCGATGTTTGGAACAGCATTTCCCTGGAGAAATGGAGGCCACAGCCGGCCACCTCCTCCCTCCTGCCACAGCAACTCCCACCCCGCTGGGTGTTGGAGCTGGTACCAGCTGTGACCCACACACCAAGCTCCTGGGAAGCCATCCTGTTTCCTGGATGCTCTGCGAGCTGGGGGGGAGGGGGTTAAGGACAGCAGGGGACACTGCAGGGGATGAGTGTGGCTTTGAGGCAGGATAGACAGTGCCCACACCGTGGAGCTGGTCCAGCCCAGTGGCCACTGAGGACCAGACGGGCAGCAGCTCCACTTACCCATGGCCTCCGCGCGAGACGAACATCTCGTGGAAGGGGAACTGCCGATGGAGATCCCGCTCAATCACATCCAGCCACTTTGGGTCCCCTGGGAGGAGATCCAGTTCCTGGGGAGCAGAGGGTTGAGGTGAACAACAACTCACACTGACACGTGTGGGATGCAACGAGCCCAGGGGAGCTGGCGGAGCAGCCACGGGGCTGGACCTGGCTCTGCCCCGAACATGAGCCCTATCAGGACTGGGACACTAGCTCCTTCACCCCCTCCACAGCAGGAACAGGCAGCATCTGGGACCCCAACAGAGACCCCAGCCCTAGAGGGAGCAGGAGCCGTCCCCACACTGTCCCCCCTCCACCAGCACCCCCTCCCCAGCAGTTCAGGAGGGTCCCCAGCAGCCACTCACTTCAAACTTGTGGATGTTCTGCTCCAGTTTGACCTTGCTCCCGGAGAGGTACTGCCAGGCTCGGCCCCGCAGCGAGGGCGGGATCCCCTTCTGGCACCGCAGCCGGATCTGTGGGGAGACACACAGCCATCACAGGGGGGATACAGCAGAGCAGCAGGGGGCAGAGAGGCCCCTGGGGCAAGACGGGAGCCAGGCCCAGAACTGCTGGTCCCTTGCTGCCTCCCTGTACAAGGGGATGTCCCCCTGGGGACAGGGTGCCCAGCCACATGTCCCCTGATGGCGGCTGGCACCGCACAGGCCTACAGGAGAGCGTGGGGAGCTGCATCCCTGAGGGTCTCGGGAGGGGTCTGCTCACCCCCTTCTCCCCAGCACTGCCCTTAACACGCCAGGCAGAGCTACACCAGCACGAGGGAGCTGCAGACGGCTGCCAGGAGCCCGGCCAAGGCTTTGTGGCTTCCAAACAGCTCCAAACAAGCCCGGCTCTGCCTCAAAGCAGGATCCTGCTGTGAGCTGGAAAGGCAAACACTGGAGCCAAGGCAGGGAATGGGTGGCTCCCTCCAAGTGGGGACACAAGGGAGGGCTCTCTGGCCCCCAGGCCAGCCCTCCTGCTTGCCCATGGGGCCAAGGAGAGCAGGGAGAACACTCTGCCGAGCAGCTCAGCCTTCCTGCCCGCTCACCCTGGGCAGGAGAGCAGCTCCACGCATGGCCGGCTCCGTGCCCACAGTTGGCCCCCAGTTTCCTTGGCACAGGGCACCAGCCAAGACCAAAGTCCAGGCGAGGCAGTGACCGCCGGTACCCACCCCGCAGGGGGGAGCCCAGCCGCCTTAACCCTGCTGCTGCCAGCGCCCCACGGGGACCACGATGAGAGACCCCCCCACATCCCACTCCAGCTCCGGGGGAAGCGGCAGCACCATCTCCCCACAGTCCTCGGCCGGGACACAGGAGACCAGTGCTTTCAGCACAGTTACCCCACATAAAGCCCTGCAAAAACCCAGCACGGCCTCCTTTCCCCACTTGGGTGGCACATGCCAAGTGCTGGAGACGCGCCAGGGCTCTGAGAGCCGCAGCCGACAGCTCCCAAAGTCTCCCTTGGGCCTCCCCGAGCTCCTTGTCCCTGTTTGCCAGCATGACTGGGGAGCAGGCTGTTGTGCTTCCAAGCAGCCCAGCCCAGCGTGGTGGCAGCGCCGTGTCCCCAGGAGGGTTTGCTGCTCCCTCGCCGCAGCGCTGGTTGTTTACCCGGGCAGGTCCCGAGCCCTGCGAAGCCTTTGTGCTCGCAGGAAACGCGGCGGGCGATGCCCAGGGGTGGCTGCGGGCGGCTCTGCTGCTGCTGACAGCTCCCTTTTCGAGCCGGCTCCCTTTCCTGCTGGCTAAGCTGCCAGGAAGGAAGCCGCCTTGCTGGGTTTCGGTTCGGCAGCCCCTCCAGCTGGCCAGGACCAGCACGGCTTGGGACAAGCAGCCGAGCAGCTCCTCCCCTTGGCTCCGCACGGGGTCCTGCCATGGCCCCCGAGCTGGGGGTACCCAGCTCCTGGGATCCCACCGTGCCTTTCCTGAGACAGGGAGCCCGCCTGGGTTGAGGGATGCTGAAAGCAACGAGCAGTGGGAGCGTGCCCATCCTTGGAGAGCAGCGGGAGCTGCCCATCCTTGGAGAGCAGTGGGAGCTGCCCACGCGTCTGCCCTCCTTCAGTCTGGCTGGAAAGGGCAAGGACAGCACGGGGCAATGGCACGGCTCGGGCTCCGCTGGGATCGGAGCCAGGCGGGCGAGGGAGGGAGATTTTCAGGATGCCAGAGCGGTGCAGGTGTGAGAGAGCCCGGCAGGAGCCGGCCCAAGAGATCCCCGGGCCACCAGCCAACCCCGGCGAGGCAGCCAGAAAAGTACCGGGGTTTTTCAGCAGCACGGGGAGCTCCTCTGAAGCAGCGGGGCCCGAGCCACGTGGCGTGGCCCCGTACCAAAGCAGCCAGGCTCCTGCCAGAGCCGGGACGGTTGACAGCATCCGAGGCCAGCCCTGGCACCCTTCCCCGAGCAGCCCCGGGGCTCTGGGCACAGAGCAGCTCTCTAGAGCAGACCTCAGAGGCTCTGAGCATGGATTTTTTGCTGCAGGACAGACTATACAGCACATCAGCCCCACGGAGATCCCCAGGAGCTCAGCCCCAGCACGAGGGAGCTCCTCTGCCAGCCATCCCAGCTGCCGGGGCATTCACCCGTGCCCGGAGGCCGCGCTGTGGCATGGCCGGAGAGCAGTGGAAACCGCCCGCAGAACAAAGCACCCGTCCCAAAGAGCTCTCCCAAACCCTTTGCGAGCGGCCAAGAAACAGATGAGGGATTCCTGAGTCGTTCTCCAGGCAGCAAGCGGGGACGGCACTCCGGGAGCACAGCACACAGAGCGGTGCCAGGAGGCTCTGCCAGCCAGAGGGAGGAAGAGGAGGAGGCGGCGGCCCTTTGGCCACTCTCAGGCTTGGCTGACCCTTGCCAGCAGCCTCACCGCTTCCAGCGGACACACAGCAGCAACCCAGGGCTTGTTGCATCCTATCCCTGCCTCGTTCGCAGGCTCAGGAGGTCAGAGAGCACCAACGGACCAAGCCCCGGAGCCACCCAGCACACGCCACCGTGAGTCCCCTGGGGACCCCAGCTCACAGACCAGAGTCGAGCACATCAGGCTCAAACATTTCCTACCCGGAGCTTTTTTTGGTCTACAAGATGCTCAGAACAGAAGTTTCCATGACCGAACAATTCCCATGGCTGCCTGCAGGCCGCCAAAGAAGCCCTAGGAAGGCTCCAGCCCGGCGGGGAGCAGACGGGAGCAGGAGTGGGCTGGCTCGGGGACCGCAGGCTCAGCCCCAACTCCGAGCTCCAGCTTCTTCTCTCCTGCAACCAGAAGCATCTCAGGGAGGAAACAGCCCACTCAAACCAACGGCATCATCCAAAGGCAACGCTGTCTGTGGGGACCTGGTGACACGCAGGCTGCCCCAAAGCCTCGAGGGGACACCGCTGCACCTCCCCTCGCCTGCACAGCTGTCCCGGGGACAAGCCCCGGGGAGGGACAACACTTACCTTCTTGTGTTTTTTGGCCATCCACTTGTCCCAGTTGTTGAGCATATCCAGCCACTTGGACTCCCGCTGCCGCAGCACCTCCAAGGGCACCTCCTCCAGCCTGCGGGATGGGGGAAGAGCCCGGTCAGCGTGGTGCTGGGCCCTCCTGCCACCTCAGAGCCCACCGCGTCCCCCCCAGCACCCTTGGTGTCCCCCATGTCTGGCTGGTGGCCCCCCCCGCCAGCACAGAGCCTGGCTGGGACACGCTCGAGGGCAGCAGCGTTTCAGCAGCTGCTTGGCGTTGCCGGAAGCGCTCACCACCCGTGAAATCACCACGCCAGCACAGCCCCAGCTCCCCAGCCCTTCAAAACCTCCGGGGAGCAGCCTGTGCTGCAACCACCGTGTGCCCGAGGATCCCTGGGGACCCATGCCCAGAGAGGGGACCTGCCAGCAAGGCGAGGAACCGGGGAGCCCAGCTAGAGCCATGAGCTAAGCTGAGCAAGGTCCGCTCCCCCCCCGGCGGGGGCTGGCTGCAGACAGAGAAAGCTGAGGCCATAAGCACCATGTCATCTGCACGGCCCCAATCATGCTCGCACCCCAAAAGCCTGGCCCTGCTCCAGGCCCGGCACCGAGCCCGGCCGAGGGTCCTCCGGGAGGGAGGGGAGTGTGTTTTCCAGCAACGGCTCAGCCGAGCCGGGGAATCCGATTTAACCCTGCCGTGCCGAGACGCCAAAGCCAGCGAGGGGGGAGGCAACACTGCGGCCTCCAACCCCTTCGGGCACCTCTACTTTTCATCAGCAAGGAGATAGAGTGACACGAGGTGTAGGCATCCCAGGGAGAGCAGAAGCTCCTTCAAGCCACCAGTGAAGAAGGACCAACTTGAGCAGAGCCGGTGCCTTCCCGGGCTTGGCTCTGCACTGCCCCGTGGCCACGCCAATCCCAGGAGCAGCCACGTCCTTTCCAGTGCTCCAGGCGCCCAGCATCCCCTGGGGAGGTGCAGAGCACCCAGCCCCGCTGCAGGACACACAGACCCTGCCTCCTCCCGGACCTCCCCGTGTTAGGAGCTGGAAAACAAGCAGTACGGAGAGGCCATGGCCGCATCCAGCTGGCAGCGCTGCCCTGCTCCCTGCCCAGCCCTTCCCCACCGCGTCCCACCCACCCACCGCAGCGGGTCAGACGGGGCCGAGGGCGATTGTTTCGGAGAGCAAACCCTCTCCGAAGGGATCCGCTCCGCTCGGTGAGGCCACCCCACCCTCCCCAGCGCTGGCTGGGCTCAGCCGGCAGCTCCCTGGCCGGCACGGCACGGGGACAGAGGGAGCGCAGCCCGGCACGGGGACGGAGGGAGCACTGGCCCCGAGCCGGGGAGCCTGGGCTGCCGGGGGAGCTGGGGCTCTCCGAGGCGTGGGAAGCTCGGGAGCGCTGGCCGCTGGATACAGGAGCTGGCCGCGGGCCTGCTGGAGCCCCGCCAGCCCAGACTGGAAGCCGTTACCAGCTGATGGCTGCCTGGCAGCGGGCACAGAGCGAGGACCAGAGACATTTCAGATGGCCGAGGGGGCGGGGGGGAAGGATGGGGTGGGGGGCACCCCAGCCTGGGAGGCAAGGAGATGCTCTTCCACAGCCACACTGTGGGTGACACCCCAGCCTGGGAGGCAAGGAGATGCTCTTCCACAGCCACACTGTGGGTGACAGCCCCACATTTCAGCCCTTCCTGGTGTCCCCAGACCCTTAGCAGATGCTGGGACACCCCGCTAGCCCTCCTCAAAACCCAGAGGGACCCAACTCTGCTAGCCACAGAAGGAGGCCACGCACTCCTGTTTATCCACTCCTAGACAGATGGAGAACAGATAAAAGCCTGGAGGAGAGCAGGATCGGGCCCCAGTACATCTGCAGGGCACGGGAGGAAGGGTCTGTCCCCAGTGACCGCAGCCACCACGCTGTCAGCACCCCGAATCATCTCCAGCACCAGGAGCCACTGCCTGCTGAACCCCAGGGACAAGGACATCCACTCTGAGCACCCAGGGACAGCCATAGGGACAACAGCAAAGTGTCCCCAGAACCTGGCGCGTGGCCGGGATAGGGTGCAGCACCCCGGGCAGGAGAGGCCACCCCTGTGCTGAGCTGTGAGCCCAATGGGCAAGGGCAGGGTTTATCACCCCGAGCGATGCACCTTGCCCGGCAATCACTGCTCCGGAGCGGGGGAGTGACGCCCATGGGGCTTATGGGGGGGAACGGCTTGCTCCTCGGAGACAGGGAAACTGAGGCACGGAGCCCACCTGAGAGCAGGGCACAGAGGGGAACCGGCTCCGGGCGACGTCCCGGCCGAGGGGAGCAGGGCTGCCGCCCGTCGTCCCCGCCGTGCTCTCCCCGGGCGTCACCGCCAAACCACGGCCAGGAAGGCAAACACCAAACAGGCCGCGGAACCCGCTCCCCAGCAGCCCGGAGCACATTCCTGGGTGCCGGCACCACCCCGGGGCCCAGCGCCTGGGGCCGGCCCGGCCCTGGGGTTGCCCTCGGCCCATCTCCACTGGCCCCCGCTTCCTCCCAAGGGCTTCCTCCGCCGAGGGCTCGCCGGCCTACGCCTCCTCGCCAACGGCTACCAGTTCCCTCGGCAGCCACCGAACAACGGCCCGGCCTCCCCCGTTCGACGGCGGCCAAAACCCCGCCGGAATGGCCGGGCTGGG